GGGGGGGGGGGGGGGGGGGGGGGGGGGGGGGGGGGGGGGGGGAAACAACCCCTTGGAGGAGGTTGTGTGCCGCTGTGTATTTATTTTTTATAAGCCACAAAGAGCCTGTGTTTCAGATCTAATCAAAGCCAAACAACGTGGCGGCACGGCGGAGAGGCGGTCCTGTATGTTGTGTACCGCCAAAGTGGTGAGGGAGCCTTATGCATGTAAATGATCCATTCATTTTCTTAATCACAGATGTGAACCATAGGAAGCCCGACGCCGCCCGCACCTACAGCCCGCGGTGAGCTGCTCGTCTGTATGCGTGAACACATGTGGGACGGTGAGAGTGTCACCCCGTCTCCATCCGTCAGTCATCGGTGTCACCCGCTCTCCGTTCACATGCAGGCTTATGCATATGGAGCCAGGCTACAGCATGATACCGTCGTCTCCAGGACTGCTTACGAGTGAGCCCACCTCATTTGTGTCGGCGCCGCGTGAGGGAAGCGAGCGAAGGGTCTAATATTAAAGGCCCTCTCTTGCATGTGATGGAGGTTATTATTATATGTGAGCGGCCTGTTTGTAAACAGAAGATCATTAGCTGATACGGTATGATTTGTCTTTCTTCGCTTATTTCTGTTTTGATGTTTACGACTGTTGACGTCATAATTAGGGTTTTAAAAACATATTGGAAGATTAATGTATAATCTTGACACTACATTTCTCTAGAGTAATTAATACATTTGCTGCCTAAAAAATGATGCACCAATATACATTTTCTTTTGCAGGGCCTTTATTCTCCGTTTTGTGTTTTTTTAATTTAAATAAATAAAATAAACCATATAAAGCAAAAATGTATTTTAGAAGTGTGTTAACAACAACATGTTTTGTTCTCTCCATGTAGTTTCATGCACCAATTCATTGATATATTACATCTAATATCTTATTTAACTTATAATAAAAACATTTTAGTTATAAACAAAAGTTCACACTTTTCCTTAAAGGGACAGTGTGTAGGATTTGGTGGCATCTAGTGGTGACGTTGCAGAATGCAACCAACTAAATGTAAAACAGTAGTAACTGTTCGTCGCACTCAAAGAACATCCTTACTGGTATAAAAGCAACAGAAGTAACGCGGTGGCTAATTCTGCTAAAAGAGCCCCAGAAATGCTACACACTGTATTTTTAGAGCAGTATTGCTACTTCTACTTTTAGACATGAGTACTTCCTCCACCACTGCTTATGGCCAGTATGAACAGGAGGAATGATAACAGCAAGATGTACTGCTTTAATGTGTATATTTGCACCTATTGCTTACTAAATCTTTGCTGTAAGTGATGTTTATCTAGAAACACGACGTACCCTGGCATGGGTCCATTCTTGGCCAGGTTGTACACTTGCCTCGGGTTCAGAAGATACTGGAATTTTCTGTAAATCCTGCAGGAGTGAATATGCAGAGAGATCAGAATAAAAGTCAAGACAACAAACAGAAAGTCACAAACGCAAACATTCAAAAACTAAAAAAAACAACTAAATCACACATAACGCTTTGAAGTGGATTTAGTGTCAGATTCTGTCCTGTAAGGGCCGGCGTCCAATCAGAGCGGGACAAGGCAGCGGACTGGGCAGCAGGGTGGGACATACCCAAAGACATACCCTTGAGGAGAAACCATTAGAAAGACTAATTCATTTTAATTTCAATTTCATTACATCAACTGGCTGAAGTCATATTTTGATCTCATAATTTAAACAAATGAGGGGCCGGCGTAATAAGGAGCGAATGAATATGTTTCAGTAATAACCCAATTAGCCCTGGGTTAAAGAAGGGGGCCCGGCCCTGATGCGACAGCGAGGAGGGTGTCTGCGGAGAGCCGGCGGTGAAGGCGGTCGGCGCTTCCAGGGTTGACGTCCTCGTGGTTTTTATTCGACTAAGTCAGCCCGAGGCACTTGGCAGCCAGAGGCCGCGCCGCCTCCTTCCCTCTGCGATGGAGGAGCGGAGCTTCAGAGGCCTCTTGTAGCATGTTGAGACAGATTGTGTACTTACCTCTCTCCCTGCTTCCCCCCGCTCTTTGGATTGACAAACACTAGCAGAGGATGAGTGCCCTCTATTGTTGTGATCTGAATGGGAGATGTCAAAACAAACCGTTGGTGTTTGGAGACTGCAGGATGCTTCACAGGAATTCACTTTCAAGCCATATCCCTCAGACGTTGTTGGTTTTTTTTTTCATATCGAGTCTACGCAGCACTTCCAAGCAGTGCCAGTCATCCGATTCGTTTCATAGCTTTCCTGTTTCATGGATGCACGAGTGGTACCAAGATGTACGGCAAAGTGTGGGCGCTCAACATGTTCTGTGCCCGAGTCCAAATCTAATCTTGTGTTAATTATAATATCTAATTATGAAAAGGAGAACAGTGATAATAGTCCTCAAAAAAATGTATTTCTACAGTAAAAATTTTGAAAATAAATCCCATAAATGTTCTTTTTCTGATTAGCTGAAGAAGTATATTCAAAGAATCCTATAAAAAGATTTTTAAAAAGCAATGTATTAGTCCATATGTCAATACTTTCCCTACTATGTCTGTGGTGCTCAGCCGCAGTCAGTCTTCCTGAAGGTACACATCTGTAACAACAGCTCACAATATATTTAGTTTAAATTAAAAAAGGCTGATATTTCTTACAACAGCTGGGCACTGTAGTGTTTATCAAATGTGACAGAGGAAGAAGATATCACAGTTCTTGTTTGTTTTTGTGACGAAAATGAATAATAATAAAAATATAGAATACTGCATGCAAAATATAGCACACTAACTAAATGTTGTGCATTTGCTCCAGTTTTGACCCGAAATGTAGCAGAAATGAAGGTTTTTATCAGAAGTTATGATGGCAAATGATATCGGATGCAGGTTTCAGTGAGCAGACGTACAGTTCAGTAAAACAACCCATCCATCTCTCAGCCAATCAATACTCTCAACCTGATAAATCATGATTCACAATTCAGTCGTAATAGTCATTTGTCACCGCTTCCTAATTGGCAGGGCAGTTTGTCTCATGTGACGTGGGATGGGGTGTTTTTTTTTTTTTTGGACGGACAGAAAAAAACGCGGCGGTGCCGGAGGCCGGACTCACAGAGCGCCACACAAACGAAGCTCTAATCCGGCGGCGCCCACGTTTGAATCGGCCCCTTCGTGCGACAACTCGCCCAGTGCTCTCCCTGACACAGATGAAGCGCTTAACTCCCCCTGTCTGCTATCCCAGCAGGCCGAGGGTGAATTAATGAGCTCCCCCGTCCTGTCCGGAGTGATCCATTACTTCCTGTAATTATAAATAATAATCTTGATTATTACGCTGGTTAGCCAGCGAGCGGCATTAGATGGATGTGCCCGGGATATGATTCATCAGATTTCTCTCCCAGCCACGAGCAGACGAGCAGTCGCCACAGACAGCGTGCTGGCTGACAGATATGAGAGGGGATCTGAGCGGACTGGGCTCTGCTGTATGATACCGATTACCAGCAGTCCCGTCATGTGACCAACTGCAGAGGCTCATTTCAACATGAATACAAATACTAGAGGCTGCTGCTTTACAATTGGTGCAGACTGCAGCAGAGAGGCCTCTCAACAAATATGCCCAGTCCTGTGCGTTGGTTTTAAATTTAAATTTCTGATTATTTTCATAACTTTTAAACCATTTTATTCTGCACCAAGATGCCTCAGATCAGATCAGATATTGGCAAAAGTTCAGGCTGTTTTTTTTTAATGTTTTAGGGACTATCTCCTGCTCTGATCACATCAGCGGAGTCAGAGACGCATTATTTTTTTTTACTGTTTTCTATTTTCTTTTTAACGTTTGGCCCTCATTGAACCTCTGTTTTTGAAAGGCGCTATGAAGACAAAGTTTACTTCCTCAGGATGGCTTACTACTGAAGTTGTGACTCATTTTACAACTTGTTCCGACAGTAGATAAATACATATCTGGTGGAATAAGTCCAGGCTGAAATGTGCATTCGATTTTACATCTAAATGTTTTGGAAAAATCTTAAAAGGTGGTTCTCATATCCAATTCTTTCCCACCATAGTGTAACCTTATTATCACTGAACAGTAGTATTATGAAAGGAAAGCTTTAGATCAATATTGGTTGGATGGAACTTAAGTGATCCGTGTGTTTTACGCCGGAGCAGTGCGGTGTGACGAAGGTATATTATATTGAAATGTAAGCAGGAGAATAGAACACAGAGGTAGCATCAGACTCACCTGCAGCCCTTGGCCGTCCACTGTGACGGAGTTGGCTCTCTGCATCTTCGCTCTGCTCGGCTGGCTGGCCCGGGAGTCCTTCCTCAGCGTCGACTGTCTCTCCTGAGGGTCGAACAGCGGATCCGTCAATGAGGTGATTTCCACAACTAAAGACTTCAACTCTTACAAAATGATTTATTACACAAATTTAAAGAAAGGAATGGCACTTTTGAAAAAAATAACCTTTTTTTCCCGGTTTTACTTCATTTAAGTCTGAAAACTTAAATACGAGCTTCTTCTCTGTATTTTATTCACGTTTCTTTGTGACAATCGTCTAAGCCTGTCGCCGTATTTGTTGTTGTAATCAGGGCCGTGGACACTGAGGTCAAAATGTTGACATTTTAGTTCATGAATTTTAGCTAATAAATCAATAAATAATAAACAAATGATTTAGTATCTTCCTGACACAAAGCTCTGAAACATCTGAGGAAAAGGAAAATAAATCACTTTGTTGTATGAGGTCATCACTTTATTAATCTGGTTCTGGTTGCAACGTTGTAAAGTTCAGAGACGGTGGTTTGAGTTTCCATCAACAGAAGTCAAAATGATTACACGAGGATAATCTAGATTTTAGAAAGAGTCTTTTCCCCTGAAATAGACGTGCACCATTTTTGGTAATAATCTCGGGAAATAAAAAAAACAAATAATAAAGCTTTGCCATTTCAGATCTCAGTGGGAGAACGGAGGCTGATGATTGCATCCTCAGGTAACACGGTGTCAAACAAGGTTAGACTCCGTCAGCCACGAGGGCCGCTGGCCAGAGAGGAGACAAGTCTTACCAGGACCACGGGGCAGATGGAGTTGGGGGGCAGGATGTGATCCTTCAGGGGTCCGCAGTCACACTCGGGTTTCACGTGGGAGGCACACTTGTTATGGAGCTGGAGGAGGTCGCAGCCGTTAGTTAGCAGCCAGCTTGCGTCACAAACACACACATGCTAAAGTTGTACACTTACAGGTACATGCTCGAAGATTTATTTGCGTTACACGTGTCATTGCTTCGGTTTTCATTTCTATTAACTTGCAGCCACAAACAAGTGTTTTCAGGGTGTAAATTGGTGGGATGACTTGTGAGGCATCCGAGGTGCTAAAATCGAAACCCTAAAAAAAACAAGAAGCAGTGGGAATATAATGAGGAGGTGAGCTGCCTCTCCTCAGGTGGCGGCTTACCGTGATTTGACACCACACACAGTGGAGCCCAGTCAGGCCCTGGTAACACTTGATGGTTTTGTGACACTTGTCACACTTGGTGGGGCAGTTCCCTTCCACCCAGAAATGGTGCATTACCTGCGGAGAGAGAGGGAGAGAGGTGAGAAAAGAGACATGGTGCAGAAAAACAAGATGTATACAAAGGCACAAGTGACACAACAATTAAAGAAAGCAAGACGGAGAGAGAAAAAAGCACAGCAGAGAGCCAGAAAGGCCCAACAAACGAGGCTCTGTGTCTTTTAAAGCAGGCTTGTCCTGGTGATTAGCAATGCTTAGTAGCAGATTGAGATGTTTAAATTCCAGTAGAAGAAGACAGGCCCTCATCCTGAGCCCCGTGGAGCAGCGCGGATCCAAGCGTGCCGACTGCTAAGCACTCCAATTGGACGCACCTCTGTGTTTTTCTTGGACTTGACATATGTTTTGATGCAAGACGGCGGAGCGCGAGCCACGCAGCGCTCGTGGACTGTGTACTTGCAGACTGGGGGGAAAGAAAGAAAGAAAAAAACATTTTAATTTAAGACTTTCAACTAGGAGAAGACGGAACACAGAGGAAAGGAGAAAAAACAACAGTGCTATAAGTGCTTTACACCAGGGTTTGAGTAATGTTTGTGAAAACAGCTCCTGTGGAGGGTGTAGCGTTGGATGCACTATAGAAAAAAAAAAAGCCAGTGAGTAATGAGATCAGAATTATATAGAATAAAGTTTCTTTTGTTAATTGTCTCGTTTTTTTTAGTTGAAGAAGCCATTATTTGACGCTGGAAACTCAGACTTAAACCTCTTTTAAAAAGGCCAAGTAAGAAATAAGACGCCACTATTTTCGCGTAAATTTGGCTCCAGAGTAACATTCATAACAAGGCAACACAGAGAAACTATATTTATAAAGCCTCTTTCAGAAACAGGGTTGCAAAGCTCGTCACAAATACGCTACAAAACAACAAGAAACATAAAGAAGAGGTTCATAAAAATGAGTTTTAAGAAGCGATTTAAAAGAAACCAACGAGGTCGCGAGACGAATCCCAACAGGAAGAATATTCCAGAGTGTTAGGGCCCTCAAAGCAAAATCCTAGTCTCCTTTACTTTATGGTGGGTGGGGGGGGGACCATTTAGCACTTAAAAGTAATGAGCAGAACCTTGAAACCATTCCTGAAGTTAACTGTTTAAAACAAGGCTTGTATGATCTCTGCTGATTGACCTAGTTCACGGTCTTGCTGAAGCGTTTTGTAGAACCTGAAGGCGTGAATGTGCTTCATTCTTTACACACGTAAAATCGTCTCATATTTTTGACAGAGGACGATAGCAACGATCTCATTTTTGAAAACATTCAAAGTTGATAAAAACAGGACTGAACTAGCTTCTAGACACCATCATCAAAAGTTCAATTGAAATGGAAGATAACTCAACACACTTCTAGCTTTAGGCTTTTAAAAAAACAACAGCTTGTTCAGCAAATGTGTCACTGGAGACGACGCCGGCCGAGTTTACTGCGTGCGTGCGTCGTCTGTTCAAATCAATGCGTCCGTCGAACCCTGAGCGGTGAGTGAATGAACTCACAGGAGCAGCAGAGTCCCTGCTTCCCGAGTCCGATCAGCATGTTGAGACACAGGTTACAGTAGGCCGGCTTGTTGAAGTGCTTCAGTCGCCACACGTGTTGCCCGTCATCTTTGACATTCTGCAGACACACAAAACATACGACTTGATTGAACGATTCACTGCGTCACTGCATCGTTTTATATTCGGACAGGAGAATCATCAGCTGATCATTTCACTCATTTATTTGTCAGTTAGCTCGATGAGTGTCTCACTGTTGTATTTTTTCCAGTTCTTCCGACTGGGAGGAAGTTTTGCTGCCTTCCCTTAGTGGTAATATTCATTCATAAAAGAAACGACACCTAGGGAGGAATTTCTGCTGAAGCTGGTCAAATGGTTCCATCTAGTGGAGGAACTATGAGCTGAAGGCAGAACTGATCACAGGAAAACAGCAGCACATGTGTACAGATGTTGTCAGGGAACTGCTGGGGAGAGTGTGTGAGCTGTTAGCAGATCAATTATGCATTGCAGTAAATGGATTAGTAATGATGAGGAATATATTCACTGCTTCTAGTCCTTTTTCAGATCTTCAACAGCAGTAGCACGGCCCAGAAGGAAAAAAACTACACATTTCAGATTCTCTGAGTTTAGCTGACACTATGAACTCCAGCAATTGACAGTGAAGCAATTAGAGGTTAGATGTATGAACAACTCCTGTGACTTTAAAGCGATTAGCATAATCATCTCTGCAGGAACGACTTGAAGTAAAGTAAAAAAAAAAAAAGAGCTGAGAGATAAAGCCAATTTACACTTCAAAGATGCGAGAAGAGTTCTCTGTTTCTCTGAAAGCCTGATGAACCGAAAGCTGCGCAGACACACTCTTAAACACCTGTTCTAAAATAGCAAGAAGTGTCAGGTTCTTATGAACGGAAAGGAACGGAACATTTAACCACATCAGGTTGACTGAGCGTCACCTTTAAAACACATGTTGAAAAGCTTGGTACAGTACACCCCTCCGTGTGATATTTGCCCAAATACTTAAAGGAACTGAACTGTTCTCCCTCAAGACAGTCACACGAACATCATCAGGGGAGCTTCAGACCTCTAACGACAGTCATGCCACCAAACCTACATAATGAATTTGCTAATTTACATGTGTTGTGTGATTGGTCATTGTTAAACAATACGTCAGTGAAAGTCCATGTGTTTAGGATGTGTTGATCATAAAGGTTATGGGCTAGAGGACAGACAGGAGACAGAGGACATTCGGATAACCGCAGCTTTTCACCGATCGTGTGTTTGCTTGTATTTTATGCACTAACGGTGTGAATGTTTTTGAGATGGACGCCTTAGAATCTCTTGCTGTTTTGAACAGAGTGAATGGCTTTGTGATTAGTTTCATCTCAGGCTAAAGTTTGCAGGTTTCCGTCTTATCTTTCTTTGTGTATTCTACCACAGACGTCCAGCAACACGTGTCAATTACCAGCTCATTACACACACAGTCTTTTCAAAATAAACCTCCGTCTTCACAGGAAACTACTCAGTTTAGGAAAAGTGGGTTGGGTAACAATAGCTACGAGGTAGTGTTACTTATGTACGGAAGTTACGCAAAAAATAATCAACGTTGACTTCTTTTTTCACATTTGGGGTTTTGAGTGAAATGTCTCGACTACTGAATGGATTCCCATGAAACTTGGCTCTCACACACTCGAGCTCTGGTCAGGAGGAATTGTAAGAACTTGAGTGATCTGCTGACTTTTTCATCCAGCCTCATCATCGGGTCAATTTTTTTTTTTCTTATTAATACTTTGGTTAAATACCTGCAATGACATTTCCCATCAGCCTTTGTTGCAAAAAACATCAAACAAACACAGGACTTTCACCCAGGAGACCACAGTTCTCGTCCCGTGTGAAACCAAAAGTAAACGTTAAATGAATGCTTGTATTGTCATGTAGAAAAGTCCACTAAGGGCAGCTGTTCTTTATTTACCTTAGTACGGTTATTAGATTACGTTGTTTCATCTTTAAATCAACAAAAAACACAATCTTTTTTTCTAACCAGTACCGAGTAGTTTTGTTGCCGAACAAAACTACTCGGTACTAAACCGAACAACTCGTTGCTCAACGTTTACCTCGTGACATTGTGCGTTTCTGCAGATGTGATATGTGGCTGATATTAAATGTATTCATGAAAGTTCATATTTACAGAAACATTCAACGTATCCTGTGATTTGCAGAAACGTACAATGCCAACACCTTTTCTCACAACAGGACGGTTTCTAGCACGGCTGTAGACTCACAGTCGTATTAATACACTTTTGATACGGTTACATTTTTGTAAAATGGCTAAAACTGATGGAAGCTGCTGCACGCCGTTAGCATGCGACCGGCGTCACCTGTCAAATGGAAGCGGTCTCTCTGTGGACTCACCGTCTCCAGGCCCAGCAGCACCAGCAGCGGGATGGTGGTCATGCCTCCCTGGATCCACTCCTCCAGCGACACCGTGCCGTCGTGGTTGTAGTCGATCTCCTGCATCATGTCCTGGAGGATCTGCAGCGTGAACGGAGACAGTAAGTCCAGAGACAAGAGGAGGACAAGTCTGGTTTTCATAGAAGTAGTAAATTGGAATAATTTGCTCCCTGTGGGGTTGAGAGAAAATCTGTATACTGCAAATGATATTAAACTAGTGTAGAGTGTATTTTCAGGCTTGTCTTTAATTTTTTTTACAGTCATTATTTAGTGTTAAAGTTCAGTCACAAAATCATTGTTGTGGAAGAAAAACAGCTCTCAGCAAGCTGACGAAGTGTCTGCTAACCAGCTAAGAGGTTTAAACTCACACCATCACTGACTCCTGTTAACTGGGTGAAATGTCTCTTACTGGTTTCAGCTCAGTCACGTCCCATTCCAGGTACTCGGCTACGTGCATCATCTGGGAGATAATGTGCTCCAGCTCCTGCGGTGAGACCACAGACAAGTCAATCACAGGCCCCCAAAAAATACTGTATTTACCTTTTCCGTGTATTGCAGCCTTACAAGTCGATGCTGCTAAGTGGCCTTGGCGTGAATAGACTCATGAACGACATGTAATAGCAGGTTGGAAATGTCATTGTTCCGCACAGAAGAGGTTTTCTGAGAAAAACAAAGGCAGCGTGGGAAGAGCTCCGAGGCTGATGCTTTAATTACAATGGTTGACTTTCTTTTGGGGGGGGGTATTATTATCTAGTGTGGTAGTGAATCACTATGATGCACTTTGGACTTCTTTAAGATGTTGAGTGGAAATCAAGAGTCCACACATAAAAAATACTTCTTGTTGTTTTAATATTTTCTCAAATCTGAACACATTCAATCAATATCCCTCTTTTTTTTGGGATGCTCTTCCTCCTCTTTTCATTACGCTCCCCATCCCGGGCAATAATGGGATACATTACAAAACCCCTCCACCCACTTAACCCTAACCCTCCTACACACTTTCTATACATGTACTCAAAAGCACTGACGCGCTTTCATTCATAAAATATACGCCAGGCCAGACTTTTCTCTTTCCCGTCATCCATTCATTCATGTATTTGTACCAATGTTGATGTACAACATGGAGATAATGGAAGCAAACTGATTATATGTTTGCATTATTTACTCCTAACGTACTTAAGAGTACAAAGAGTACATAGCATCTAATATACAAGTACTCACTATACAAAACACGGCTATATTTATCGTACTTTACTATTTTTTACTGTAGCTACTGAGCAGCATTTTAATGTTAAAGTTTATATACTGAGTAACTTAATCAATAACTAGAGTTTATATATTTAATAAATGTATCTGATGTTTAACCTATAAAATGTTAGACAAGAACTAAAAGTTAAATAAATGTAAAGAAGTGAAGAGAACAATATATTTTCTATGATTTGTGGCCAGCTGAAGTATCCTAAATATAATATAAAATAATGGGTAATAATTAAATATGATATTATAACAGCTATAATGTGCTGAATGAAAGTACAGAAACACAGAGAAGAATTAAATAGATTGATTTATCGTGTCAATAGTTGATTTTGTTATTTTCCTCTTCTGTTGTTGTTATTTGTCTGTTTGCATATCTGGGTCCTTTTACACTCGGGAGGGCTTCTCTGTTGCCTGTTTGTTTATATGTCATCAACGTGGCCGGCTTATTCGCCCCTCCTTTCTCCTTTTTTTAAATTACTGTTTTAATCCTCATTACAATGAATATTATTGTCATTGTTTGTCTCATCATTTGTCTTTTCCCTCATTGTCTCCTAATTTGAAAAAGAATAAAAACAAAGTAAATGTACTGGGGGGGTGGGCCAAACAAAAGTTTGAGCTCCTCACTTGTGATAATACATTTTATGTCTTTTGGTTTTGACTGCGTTAGAATAAACATTTTATGGGCATTTTTCACTGATTTCTGACATTTCAAATTCAAACTATTAATTGATTAATCAAGATATAAATCAGCCAATAAGAATAATAATAATAATAGCTCGTTAGAAAGGAGAGTGTAACCTCTCATACTTTGTGTCTCCAGCTGTTTTGCTTCTGATGCTACTGATTTTAATAGACATTTTAAAAACGGACAAGTTGTCTCTCTAGTAATAAAATAAATACATTAGTAAAAACGCCAACATATTTAGGGATGCATTCAGTGAAAATTGTTGCCCTTTTGAACAACTTTTATTGTTCTTGTATGTCTTTTTATGTATTTGTCTTATGTGGACCCTGAGTCTGATTGATTGATTGAACTTCAGGCGAAGGTTGTTCTTAAAGAGGAGAAATATTTACCGAGCTGTCCAAAGACCCGTTTCCATCAGTGTCATAGAGGCGAAACATAACTGTGGAGACAAAACACAGAAATGTCAGTGCTTCAAGTGAACATTAAAAGCAGGCATTGGCAGGTGAAGCCGCGGCACGCAGCGCCATAAAACAGCTTTTATTTCCTTTACAAAAACCCAGATCTCTGCAGTTGTACGCATCTGAAATGCTGCAAATTTAAGTGTCCCCCAATTACCACTCGAACGTGTCACCATGGAAACACAGCTCCCACATCGAGGCCCGTGATTGGCTCTTGGCGTGACGTCTCGGTGATGTGTCTGAACGTCACAGAGTCGTGACAACAACAACAACATGACCTGGCTGCAGATCATTTCAATGCTAATATCTACACTTAGAGGCGCTCTTACCCAACACCACCCTCCACCCTGCACCCTCCACCCCCGGCTTCCATGCGAGTGCGGTCGAGGTGTAGCAGACGGCGGGTGCTGCCGACATCATGAGGAGCTGACGTCAGATGGCGGTTCGTCAACCCACTAACGAGGAGCTAAGTGCCAGTTTCCTGAAGGGGGTGTGACCTGTTGGAGGGGGGGGGGAAGGGAGGGGAAGTGCTGCTGGTGTCCGGCGTTGGGTGTTGGGTGGAGGCTGGTGGTGTCACGAGGTGGTGCTTGTGGTGACCCAAAGAGGTAATAAAATGCTAAAGATGATGAGAAGTGTTGGTAAATTCTGCCTGCAGTACAAAGGGGTTGGACAGAGTTTCCTCTGGGATGGTTCTCACGAAAGATAAATAAAAACTCTGGATCCATTAAAGCTACAGTTTGTAACTTTGATTAAAAAAACGTTTTGCCATATCTGCATATTGACGGCAACATGAGTCAATATCCGCTCTTAACAGGCATACAGTCTTTTCAGAATAAACTTCCATCTTCACAGGAAACAACTTAGTTAGGTTGAGGCAACACAACTACTTGGTTAGGTTTAAGTTACTTAAAGTTACTTAAGTACTGCAGTTACGTGACAAGTAAATCAACGCCGACTTCTCCGTTCACATGGGGCAACAGCAACGGTCTCTTGGGTGAAAGACTGGATTGTGTTTGCTCTTTTCTCTACTGCGCACGTGTTTTCAAAAAGATACTTTAGTGAACTTTTTATGTTGAAAACCACTGAAAACCAAATACATTTTTATTATCTTTAAAGTTAAATACCTAAATATATGTTAGTACAGTGAACTACTGATTTTGACCAGATCTCTATTTAACTTTAAGAGTTTCATGCGTTTGTTTATTTCTCTTTATTTGTTACCACCTTTCTGTTGTGAATTTCTCTTTTTTTCTCCTCATCCATTATATATTTATTTCTGTTGTATGTAACTTAACTGCGCACCATTTAATTAGTTCTCTGTAATCACACATCCTTACATTTTTCAAGGTGTTTTGGAAGCTTTAAATAACTTTATCAAATCACATATAAGTGCAAGACATTTGTTGAAACGGGCTATGGCTGCTTAACGGTGACACACCGTCCTCCTTAAACGCGTTAAAGCTATTTTACAGTGAGATTTCTATTTGCGGTGACGCCTTGTGAGACTTTCTATATTTTCGATTAATGTATCTGTTTTTTATAACACGAAACAGTGCTCGACTCTGCCTTATTCAACTTTCTTGTTTTTCTTTTTTTAAATATGCAGTAATTTCAAAGAAATACCTGAAACAAGAGAAACTGCACTGGAGCAAGATACATAACGGTATTAACCTGCAGCTTTAGTTTTGTTTTGCTCCTTTAGAGATAATAAATGTGTCACATCTGTGCTGGATTGTCCGAATCTGCTTCAGATGATCCTGATGAAAGAAAACCGTCAGCTCAGAAACCAGAGCAGTTCTCAGACTAACCAGCAGAGGGAGCCGTCACCTCACAAACAACAACCGTGCGGCTCAGCGTGAGTCGGAGAGAGTCGAGGACGCAGGCAGAGCTCTATGGGACATCAGCCACAGTTCCATCCATGATGCGCTCTCACACACAGGCGCCATCGGTTGAATTATTTAGCCATCCCTGTGCTTAATGAGTGCTACTCTCCTCAATAATTCAGCAGATGGATGAGAATTACAGCAACACAGAGGAAAAAAACTTTTGATGACCAATTAAGCAACGTGTGAATAAATCATGAGATAAACGCAATTAAGAGACCCGGAAAGACGTGTCGCTAAAGTGCGACCACGAGGCGTCTTGTCTTTAGAGAAGCTTTATGGGGAAGCTGCAATGATCGAAAAACAATAAATAGTGATGATCGATTGAAAATAAAAGCTCCGCCTTTGAATTCAGAAGAAAACTGAAAGGTTCTAACTTTGGTTGTGAGCTGAAAGAGCTCATTTCAGTTATTATGTTCACCAGGGGGAAAGAATAAGACGACAAGAAAGATGCAGTTTGATTGAATGTTATTGCGAACCACCAAAATCCACCAGAGAAAACTCACAAACAGACTGAGACACACAGACAGACCTGGCAGACATTTAGATTGAATCTGAATATCAATCATACAACTTTGTATATATGTTTTAGTATCCGTTTGTCTATTATAATGAGTGTATTGTTACGGTTGTGTGCTTGTTCAGGCTGATGTCCTCATGTCATGTTAGCACACAGAATTCTATTTGGATAAACAGGAAGAAACAGAAATAATCTCTTTGGCTGAGTTGAACCTCAGCGGAGAACTAAGCTCAACGTAGATAATTACATTAATAAATATAAATGTTTTATTGACTTTTTATTGATCCCGTCATTCTTTTATGCCCTATATAGCCACGTTTGGCTCAGAAGTGTTGTGAGTTGGGGGACATCAATTACAGTTTCAGTTTTTTTTAACTCGGCATCTGAACATAATAGTTCATAACATATCCATGATTGAAGGATTGCCTCCAAATGGTTCTCAACATGGCGACAGCTGAGCCGGCGGCTTGCAGCTAACGATGCTAATCTTGCAAACAATGGCAACAGTGCTGGCAGAACTAACAGTATGTAAGCACTGAATTTAGAAATGACAGCCTTTCACAGTAAAACTGTGAATGCAGGACTTATACTTGTCACGAATACTGCAGTATTTCTACACTGTGGTATTTCTATCCGAGTACTTCAGTGCTGAAGTGTATCGTGAGGAAAAAGTTGCGTCTGTCAAACGGGTGTTTTCACCGAGTGTGAAAGTTACATCATACTGCAGGTAACCACAGCAACAGTAGTTCTTCTGGATGCTGCATTACCAGATCATACCGACCTAACCGACGACAAACCAACTCTCCTCTGATTAGTGGCCACAACACACTGGGAAGTGTCTTAATATAGAAAAGAACAGACTGCTCACAGCCTCCACTTCATCCAGTATTGCCTAATATCAGGACTATGGCTGCACATAAATATTTCATTTTTGATTAATTTGACGATCATTTTCTTGATTCAATTCTTAATTGTTTTGTCCAAAAAGTAAAAATAAACAAATGTCCCAGAGCCCATTATTTTTTACAGAGAACTATAACGTGATGGTCATCCACTGCAGGCTGAGGTGGGATGAGGTCGATCCAACCTGGCAAAGTGAAGTCATGTGGTTCCTTTAGAAAATATATATATAGTCTCATAAATCTGTGATTTTAATCTCAGAGAATTTGTGATTTGTTCTTCTCGTACATTTCTTTTATGGAATATTTGCCCCCTTCCCCAGCCCGTTTTCTTTTTTAATGAATTGTTTTACTTAAAACAAAAGGTGAGTCAGTGGCAGGTCTTAGCTTAGATTACAGCTAAAGGCTATACACGTGTTTAGAACCTGAAAGCTCAACTCCTTAGTGAGGCTTGATGTTGCATTTTCCCACAAAGCAGCAGAGCAAAGATTGGTGGTGTGTCCTCTCTTACCCTTTGTCTGTTTCACTGAGCGTCACTCTGACATTACTGAGACTGGCTTCTAATACTTCCTTCCACCCACTGAGGTTCGACTCGACCGGTGACATTAACTCAGCCTGCTGATGTCTCAGTTGGCCGGTTGTGTATTTTATCTTTCGTCTTTCTTGCATTTCGATCTGGTAGGACTTGTCTAATTTCAGCACACCACTATATTGAAAATGCTCGTCATACAGTATACGAACAGACGGCCCGTGTGCACCGGGATGACACACTCACACTCGAGCTTGTCCTCAGGACGCCCGCCCTCCAGCAGCGAGAGGTAACACACGATGTCCTTCAGCTGCACCGTATCCAGAGGCGGGGGCAGGGCGTCCGTCCTCACGGGGGTCGAGTTGCCTTTGATCAGCTTCAGGCCTGTAGGGAGACGAAGACCAAAGGTCAAAACATCCTCCGCAACGTCTCTAATGTCGGCTCGATACCCTGCTGGCCCGGCTTTAGTCGTGCAGTCGGATTGATCGTTGGTGGGCGGTGCCCGGTTCACCAAAAGGCAAACAAATATAAAGTCCTGTTTGTAGTCAGAGAGGGGCTGTAATATATGTACAGGGGACTTTAAAAGTAGACTTAGTCGTCTTGACACCACCCATTGGTTTGTGGACTTCTGTTTTGAAGCCTTGAGTTCGCCATCGAAGCTTTTGACCATCACCAAAAAATAGAATTGTGTTCTCGGCTGGTTTGTGTTCTCCCTGCGCACCGTCTGTACACATGGAAAGGTTGTTCATGAGGCAAGAAGAGCTTCACTCTGTAACATTATACAGTGGATCGTTTCTGTAGTCCCAACAACTCCAACAGAGTGATACGTCCATGTCAGTTTCACACTGTCAAGTTAAACTTCATCATTTTAATAAAGTTAAACGATTAAGGGGTATCTGTAATATACCAAAAAATATTCCGAAATACTGATCTTTTCATGCTTGTTCTGTAGCGTTGACTTCTCTAATCAGATGCCGGCAGAGCGCCATAGGAGCATCAAATGACGTGTATCAGAAGAGACGCGTCCACTGTCACCTTCGGGGCCTTCGGCCCTTTAATTCTAATTTAACGAGATTGTACAAGACTGCATGGAAACCACAGACTGAAGGAGCGTTAGTGAATCTGCTCATTCTTCACCACCGTGCTCTCAGCAAAGAGCTCAGCTGCTATTTGTTCATAAAGTCAGTGTGTACGTCCAGCTAGCAGCCATAAACTCTCCTCTCACACAAGCAGTGATGCTGCTCGCTTCTAAAAGAGCTTTTAAGGGGAAATAAACCGTTTAATAATGTTGTGTACAGCGGTTCCTCTATCCGTGTCGGGGGGGATGGGAGGACTTACTGTTAAAACTGGATCAATGAGGCCTAAATAACACTCACATACAGCAGGCTGCACGGATTCAGCTCCTCACGTGCCACATCACGTGAGGTGATGTCCTCACTCGCGTTTTCCTCTACTACAGCTTTTAGCTTTATATTAAACTGTTTAGTAAGATTTACAATGAATGTATAGAATATTTGGCTCTCTTAGTTGTTGTGAAAATATGCACATTTCTTGTACTTTCTTGTTTTTTTTCACGAATAGGAAGCTTTGAAATTTTAAAAAGCAAATATCAGGGTGTATTCTGTACGTCAGTGTTCTATCAGACTATAATATTTCTTAATGTTCATAATAATAATTTAGTCTAGTTTACTGAGTCAAATTGTCTTATAAGATGCAATTGATGGATACTTGCCTCTATGATCATGAACTGACTCTAGATTATAGTTTCAGTGCTAAACTGCATGTCAACTATTGCTTTAATGAAAGTTAACAACTTGGTTTTATTGTTTGAAGTTATGCCAGAGTGGGAATCCCACTGCTGCGCTTACTGTAGCAACCTCAGCTCACTCTCCGTGGGGAGTTGTCTTCAATTTCCAGCCGCTGAACGCTGCCAGTCACTGGGGAACGTTACTCTATTTCATAACACACTCGTCTGATCTACTGTGCAGGACCAACTCTGCTGTAGTGACCACGGGGGGTAAATGCAGGCAAAATGAAATAGAAGGCAATCCAATTATTTCTATTACAGTGTGTGTGCTTTTTTGGGAAATCAACATCTGTTCATCACGACACATGCGCCGTTCATTTCCACTCTGCTTGGCATAACAACTTGAAGTTATTTGAGGATTCCAAAGTCATCTGTGATTCATGCAAAGGCTAATATGAGCGCTAATTATACGAGCTTTCATCAGAGACATTGGACAAAGTGTAAGAAGCGCTTACAGCTTAAAACACAAGCAAGTGGATGCTGATATTTGAAAACATATCACAGGTAAAAATCTGGTTATTATCCATATTATCATTATTATTGTTATTTACCTGAGATATCAGGCAGTCAAAGAAGAGTGCAGCCGAGTGTCAGTGCAGGGAATTTTAGCTTTCAAGGGAAAATTGGCCAATTTTTAACCGCATCTCCGTCTGTCAGAGTTCGGGATATTGTGTGAAAAAAGTCTGCAGCGGGTTGCTGAAGCTCTCCGTGTCTCTGAGGTGCATTTACAAAGTCTGTTGTTTCTCCTGCATCCAGCACACCGTCATATTTAACGTGACGGTGATGTAGTTGGATGCAAGGAAGTACGGCGAAGGCTACTGTTTCACTTGTACATCTCTGGGTTGTCGTTCTCTCACAAACGGAACTTCCTTGTTCTGTTCAAGGCTATTGAATGAAGGCCGGGACACGGTCTCAAGCTACGAAACATGAGCAGAGTTACTGGAAATGTGACGTCAAAGGGCAGACAGCGCCAGAACGTTTTGGGTATTAATTATATCGAACTTATTCAAATAAAAAGCATTTCTTTATGTACTTTTATTAAAGATCTTTTCAATAATTGCAGGATTGTAATTCTCAACCATAAAAGAAGGCATAAAAGAGTCTTTGCCGACTTGGCACAATCCGTTTTGTCTGCCCGTCAGTGGCTTCAATGCAATGCATCCTGGTACATGTAGTCACTGCAGGTAGAGCTCCCCGAGCAGAAGAAATCAGTTTTCTCTGTGTTAAGCTAGCACTGAGGAATTTATTGGAGTACATTTAGATCAGACGTCGACATAACAAAGGTGCAGCATTCTCCCTTTAGTACCGGTGACTCACTACCACACCAGAACAAGATATTAGTACAAATGCTGAAAACAAACAGAACCACAGCCAAGACAATTGGCAGCCGCTAGACTACGATCTACATCGTGTGCCACGGGGCTGAACTTGGCAGGAAATCTGTAATCATCTAATGGCACAAAAAACAACAACAGATAAATACACAGAAATGGTTCTGCTTCAACACAGCAAAGAAAGTAAAGTGTCCTGTCATTAAAAATCAAGAATGAGTCACTGCTGCGAGAGCATGGAATAAGTGACAAACTGGCTGCACATTAGCAACAACAGCAGTAATCAGTAGCTACAAAACACCAACACGCTGCGCTAACAACTCGAGGGTTTGTTATGGCGATGACTTCCTCTCTACACTTACCAGAGACTCTGGGTTTGTCAGCAGATGAGGGACTGGGTCTGGGTCCCTTGTTGCTGAACGTCATGAAGAGGTGTTGACAGAACTCTTCGGGGAGTTCGCTCTCCAGGAACGTCTGCATGAAGACCTTGAAGCCCTCAAAGTCAATCTCCTAAAATAACAAAAAACAGGGCAGAAATAGAGCGTGTTGTTGGTCATGTCGAGCTGCAGCCGTCGCCTAAAGGGCTTCAAGGGAACACGGATGATTTGTAATGTGAATGTTGGTATGTTTGACCTTTGGGGGGGGGACAATCTGTGATCTTTCACAAAAATGTTGCAGAATTCAGATTTCTGCACTCGAGGTGCCTCGAGTGTTGTTTGGGCTGTGGGCGGGTGAAGAGCTATTTCAGAGGGCTTTCAACGTTTTTCCAGCGTGTGTGCCGTTTACAGCTTCGTCCATCTCTACGACTATTAGGTTGGCTGATTGTTTAAATCTGTGAGTTGTTAATGTTGTCTTACATTTAAGATGAGTAATATGTTCCCAACAATAGATGCATATATCCTCTATAAATGCCTTTACTTTTCTTTCTCATTAAAAACTACTTGAGAAAGTCGAGTAATCCGGCGAGAAACTTTATGAGCACTCAACAAAACACACCAACAACACGATAAAGAGAGGAGAGAAGAGATAGATTACCTGGCTGACGATGTCCTGCTTCTAAACATGCAGCATTGTAGAAAGAAAGAAACCCAATATGTTCATGGATGTATCATGCAGGTGTGTGCTAAATATCCTTATTACACCTGTGCATGTAAAAATCACAAAGACATGATGTCTGTGAATGCAGGTCTACGGTGACTAACTCTCTTTATTGACTTCTACTATACAAAGGTTATTATAACTGCCATGGATCAATTAATGATGCATGCATAGTGGATCGAAAATAGCGTATTGTATACTACAAATTGAGATCCTGTTATTAAAATACTGCCTTTTCCTGAAATTGTCTTCAAATAGAAACACATACTAAAAACTGACTGTTAAATGTAGTGAGAAAATAGTTATTCTCCAAAGACCAATAACGCTACCATGCAACTTTCAAAGCAAGAAAACAAAAATCGAACCATGAAATGCTGTTATCATAGTGATATACAATTACTTTTCATGCTTAAATGGCAGCTTACAGTTCAGATGTGTGTCGAAATATTCTTTGAAAAAAAGGTGTGAACGAAGCAGAGGAATTGAAAATGATATAACCATAAAACACAGTTTTATGTTCAATCGTCTGTAAAATCAAATTTATTTAAGCCCCCCCCAACGAAACAAAATAAAAATAAAAATCAAGATTCTTAATAGAAGAACAGAAAATAACAACCAGACACGGAAAGGTCAATATGCAGATAGGTGTGCGGGGGCTCTTAGCCCAGTTGGATTCAAAACACTATAAACCATGTGTTATATAATAGAGTATAAACGGCACATACCTCCTCTGGATTGTATTTAGCCAAAACACCATCTCCATGGAACTCCTGCAGCACATCCTTCAGCTTCTTGGTCGAGTCTGAGGGAAATAAATTTACGGTGTTTGAGTGTTGTGATCGGTTTATGTTTGGAAAGTTTGGCGGGGAAACTGCTGCTTTTGGGCCCTTGGAAAGGAAAATAATCTAAATCTTCAATAAGTGCAGGTATAACAAGCAACAGTTGTTAGCAACAGGTTAGCTAACAGGCAAACATGTATGAAATAAATCATCATAAAGGACTTAATTGCTTGGTTATTAATAGTTAAATATATTATAATTTTTAACGCATTAATGTCTACTTATACACTGCTGGGTATCTTGTGAATTCATAAAGATAGATATGTAATCTTATTTTAGCATATATTTGTATATCATTATGTATTTATTGATAATATTTTGTATGAATCTGAACCTGCAAAGTGCCTGGTAACTAATATTCAAAAATAAATGTAATGGAGTAAAAAGTAACAATATTTCTCTCAGAAATGAAGTGAAGTAAAAGAATAAAGTGGTTAACATGGTAATACTCAAGTAGAGTACAAGTACCTCAAAATTAGGTCTACTTAAGTATAGTACATATATAAATGTACTTAGTTACTTTCCACCACGTTATCATCCTTAGAGGCATATTTCTGAAAGTTGAACAGAGCCAAGCTAACGTTAGCCGCTTCTGCTCCCAGTCGTTATGCTAAGCTAGGCTAACTCCATACGTTGGAGTGTGGTATCAATCTTCTCCCTCTCTAGAAAGCAAATATGTGTATTATTACCCAAACTGGTGAAGTAGACATACAAATCCCATTTCATAGATATGCCATTGATGATATTGAAAGGTGAACAACTAGCTAACGATAGCCATGAAGCTAATTTGAATTCGGGCCAGTTATTAAGATTCAAACTTGCATTAACGGACTTTCTGACAACTTGTGGACAACAGAAACAAGCTGTAAACACTGACAGATTATCATCTTTTAAATTGATATGGTGAACTTGTTAGCCGACATATTTAGCAAATACGAAGCATTAGCATACATACAGTCACTCTCCTTTTAAGCTTGATTATAGACACTTTAAAATCAAGTCAACTTGTTTAAAGAATGATCTGGTGTTTAAAAAAAATGTAATAAATAATAATATTTAATATATTATATTTATATCACATGTTTGAAGAAATCTGGTCAGTTGTTTTCGCACTCAGTTATGGACCAAAATAACTCGATCAGATGTAGATTTTCTGTGATAATTACTGCATGCTGCAGAGCGTTTATGAGTCCCGCTGCTCAATCAATTTGCTGCGCTGCGGATACCAGGTTCTAAATGTTACAGAAGTTAATTAGAAGTACCATTTTCTCAGATGCACTGGAGGGCCTGGTTCAGCTCTCACACGGATGCTTGTTTAAGTTCGCGCTCCATATTAGCTACCTGGTCTCTCACCTGTAAAATCACAGCTGCTTCCCCAGCAGCTCTCCGACCTGCCATGATCTAAATGGAGCAGCCGGGGACCGCGAGGTAAGGTTGCTGCTCATGAAATTGCACAGCATGTCACTGATTGATAAGCAGCAGGTGTGTTGGGAGGTTCGGCCTTGCAGGTAAGAAAAGAAAGATTTCTCTTTTCAAAATCATTAAACTTGGTGAAACTGTATCATAAATGTTAGTGTGTGATTGAGTAAATACAACACCGATTGTTTTTGCTTTTCATCAGTGTTAAAATATCAGACTTTACACATTTGTGTTAGTTAGACGAGTATTGTGTTACATTAGATTTGATTTTATGTCTTTGTCTTCGGCTTCTCCCAAGTCAACTCATTGTCTCCCCAATGTGTCAAATACCACAGCTAAGCTTTAAACCGTGACCCACCAGCGCCACTATTGAACGTGTCAATATACAAGTGTATATTGACAATATACACTTGTATATTGTCAATATACAAGTGTGACGACTGGCAAGTGACTTGACAAAATGTCAACGTCCACTTTCAGTTTCTCGCAGGACACGAACAGTGGTCTCCTGGATAAAAGTCCTGTGTTTGTTTGCCCTGAGCGTCTAATAATGATACAGGTGTGTTTACATTGGAGATAGTTGAAAGCCCGGTGAGTTGCATTTACACATTAAAGGGTTCCTCCATGCGTTGCTGTCCGACGCCATGGAGCAATGATTAAGTTGTGGAATTTGACACATTGCGAATGAGAACAAGTTGACAAAGTACAGCAAAGGTACACACAATACACATAATGATATTCACCAATAAAACATGCAAATATACAATAGTGCAAACGGGGCAGGTAGCAGCACATAAGTTATATAAATATTACAAGAGCAAAGATATAATAAAAGTGTTCCCTGATGCATTCATTCTGTGTTCAGCTCCTCTTAACAGCTTTTTTGTTGGTCGTAACGTTGCGTCGCCTCCTGCGCTAATGGCTCTGGACCTTTGATTTTCTGAGGAGGCATTTTTACCAACAGTGAGTAGAAATAATTGTTTCCCATTGGGCAGTGTGTCATCATCATTATTGACCACCTATATTAGCGCACCGCCTACACAAAACCATTACGTGGCAGGGTGATTATGAATCCACTGATTGGCTGTCACGTTCCACATGCCCGGCTGAATTACAATATATTTTCTCAATCAGGCTATAATGATTTAAGCATTGTGTGGCACACGGCAATCAGAGGACAAGACCTATTCCATGTTGTTTAGTTTCACAAACACAGTGAAGACGTTCTGTACCTTTAGAAGTAAAAGAATGTTCCCTCTGTGAAGCAGCACTCTGCTATATGGCCATTAGCAATTATATCAGTTAAATAGAAACTAATTGTTGTGAGTAAGATCTTGTGTGCTCGACTCAGCGCACAGCTATTAAAATGTTATGAAAGCGTGCGGCGGCTCACTCTAATGAGAAGGAAGGGAGAGATACAGTAGGAGGCGAGATGAGGAGAGAAGGTGAGGCAATGTGATGCCCATTGTTGCTGCTTGGAGAACGGGATATTTTATAACCTGTAGCTGCACAGCGCACAAAGAGTCGCCCCGAGCTCGTTGAAACATGATTATCCAAAGCCATCTAGCGTGCACGCAGACGTGCACACACACCGAGACTCTTTAGTTCTTTCTTGCTGCTTCACTTTTTATTTTATTCCGCCTTTTATTCCCACACAAATTCAGGATACAGCGTTAAGCCTGTCCTCCCTGGAACATTTGGTTTAATTCGTCAAACTCCTCAGCCACCCACCAAAAAAAGACAAAAAAACACACAAACACAAAAATACACGGAAAACCAAAAAAGCAAAAACCTGATTGGCTCTTGAGCGTAGCAGGGGAGTTTAAGGAACGATGTTGTCACCAGGCACAGAGCAGATTAAAGGGAGAGATGTCATTATCAAGTGAAACTAGAGATCCAGGGAGAAAAGCATTCATTATTAAGATTCATACTCGGTGCAGCGGTTGAAATGCCTCGAAGATGTCGTGTTTGACACCGAAAATAGCTCTGAGATGAATCCCGCCGCTGTGTCGGCCATGATGCGAAAAGCACTTAGGCTCTAAAAAAGTAGGGACACCTAACGACTCCATCTCTGGTCCACGGTTACTTCCATTGTTTGTCTGCCTCCGAACGATTTACCGTGACTTCTGCTTTCAAAGTCTGTCCAAAAAAAAAACGTTGAGTAGGTGGTGCACAAAGGTTAGCCTGCCAGGTATCGTCATATTTTCCGTCCCTGGTACCATTTCAAATGATGAAATGTGTCAACATCTCGGAGCGTAACATAAACTCCGGGCGTCCAGAGCACAGTCTAGTAAGCAGGGGAGCCATTTGTTGGAGTTTGCGAATGAATCATTCAGAGCTAAAGCGGCAACACACAGATTAAATGCTTCAGCAGCTTCAGCTTACTACATCAGCAAGACGGAACATGAAGCAGCCTGCAATTACTGTGAAACGTCAACATTTCATCATTAGAAGAACAAGAGATGTTTGAGATTCACCAGTATATTGATTTATGCTGCAGTCGTACAGCAGACAGAGGAACACTCCTGTTATTGTTAACTCGGTGGATTGATGCTGTCGGAGAAAATTCATGTCTCGATCTGTTAACGTGTCCCCAAGTGAGAGGAGGATCACCGGAGATATGAAAGCAGAAATCAGACTCATGACAACTTTCCATAAAACCCAAATCAATGAAGTGAAAAGGGAAAACACTAACAATAAGTATGTAATACCTTTTAAAGGAAGATGAACTGTGTAGTGCTCTCTACTTCCTCTAACTGAGATAACATTATGAGATCTGGAAATACTTTGTGTGGCAACCAAACCACTCAGCAAATGGTTCAAAGTTAACCTCACACAGAGAATCCAGTAAAAGCAGCCGCTTGTCTAATTCTGAATATCTCTTTTATCCAACAAAAATAACAATTTCACAATTAATGTTTTCATTCGCTGACACACACAATGATGACAGCCAAAAAGCCGGTAAGCTGCAATGAAAATTTACTTCTACCTGTTTCATGTCATTTGGAGGTCTCCTCAATGCCCTTGTAAAATTTGCTCTGTTTTTGGAAATATTCGTCTCTTTAGCTGCTAATTGCTCCACTATGTTCACCAGCCAGTCACTCATTTTGTTTATCTGACAATGTTTGGTGCTGGGTCGGGCGTGTACAGTGGATGTGTCTGTTGTTAAAAACAGCTGGAAACAGGGCTGATCAGTAAAACCAAAACAATGAGCTGTAAGAACCTAAAACTCTCCATAGAGATGAGAGGAAATGCAGATCGGTGTGATCATTCTCCGTAGGTTTTGTCACTATACAAGCAACCCCCTTCATATATCACACTTTGATAAATTGTTAGCTTAGTAGCTAACACAGATGCTAACATAATCTAAAATAAAATCGGTCACATTTTATCAGATGAAAAAGTTAATAACGGGTGATAATAATGAAATTTAAGGTGAAACAATATTCGCACCAGCAGATGTTGATTTGGGGCTGCAAGAAAAGTACCATGTCACCTGGTTACTCTTCTTTGTAGAACACGATCACACACACACACACACACACACATACATAGAGACACCTAGAAAAATACAGAGCGTCTTTATCACAGTGAGACACAAACAGAGAGTAGCTGTCCTACTCACACTGAGTGTACTCTTGGAGCAGGGCGAACTCAGCTGGGGTCAGTGTGACCCACGTGTCCTGGCTGCTCATTGTGTTCAGGCCTCGAACCTCCGTCCGCAGAGCATTACCCGGGCAGCAGCACACAGCGGGGCGTCACACGCTGGAAGAACAACAACAGACGTCAGACAAAGCAGGTAAAAAGGAGACGCTTGTTTGAAGTCAGAGGCTGCGGTTGTTTCTGCGTCGTAAAAAGGTCAGAAATACTGCTCATACTTTTTTCCTATTAAATAGTAATAACGTGTATATAATATAATATATAATATGAATTAAATTATAAATAACTATAATATAAATAATTGTAATATATTATATAATTACAACAATATGCATTTTATAATATATTATAAATATTCTATTGTGTAAATTATTAATATAACTCAAGGCTGTAAATAATTAGATATGTTAATACATACAGAGATACATAACAATTCTTTAATAATGTCTAAACTAGACAACAATACTGAAATAAACATGCTGTCACATCAACCAACGGGTTAGCTTGTTAGGCTAATGCTAATAACGGCTTTATCAACGACTTACAATCTATCACTACTAGCCTTAGCGAACAAGTGCAACAGTTTCCTGAAACAATGTGTGCTTTTACAATAGAAATGTCACCTTAAATACAGTTTAAACTAATATTTTATTGAGGGTGCCTGCTTCCAGCGTTACACTCTTCTCTTGTCTACCGTTCGTCTTCTGACAAACTTGACAAGAAAGCGTGAATACAAGCCCCCTAGTGGAGAGATGGCGACACCTGCTGGCTGTTTTAGATATATCACACGTTACAGTGTAAAATTAGTTAAGTCAAGATAGTCATACAACAAACTAAATATACATCTATCTCATATATGCCATATGTTCCCTTTCTGCAATTTTAATCTCAACGCCCCGCAAAAAAGACCAAATGCCAGAATGTCCCTTTGTCTCTTGATCGAGCTGTTGCAAGGACTCGACATTTCAGGCTTTGACATTCATGTTTGTCAGCCAGTGTTGGATAAAGCCAGCGTAAAGAAAACACCATCATTAGAAAAAACATGGACACCTTCTTATGGATAGAAAAACTGAAAAGTTCATTATAGGAAATGCAAAAAACCTCCCGTCAGCTCAACTGATAGGTTGATGCAAGGTCACTCCGAACCAGACTGGTTGTTATGATGACAACACAATCAAGTTCAAGCTAAATCACATTTTTGTTGGCTGGTATTACATTTTTGAAGCAAGTCCAATATTTACTGTTTCAATGGAGGTAAATTAGAAGCAGCCAGTGTTGGTTCTAAAATTGCATTTTTGTCCTAAGCTTTTAAAACAGCACTCAGGTCATTTTAATGCATATAGTCTAATATCACAATACAAATTTGCCTCAATGGGCTTTTCAGTTTGTTCAGCATATCCCGAGACACTCGATTCGGATTATGAGAAACCTCAGGAAGAGAAGGGAACCCTCGTGCAATAGATGTCGTGAGTGTACCAACAATCGAGACGATGAAATCACGGATGGTTTATAGACTTATATGAAGAACGGATCCGGGAAGATGTCTCCAAAGAGATGGAACCTGAGCCCCACAAAGACCTCTCCATCACTGAGACAGAACGATGCACTTCACCAAAGGCAGAATACGGAACAATCAAGTGAATCACCCAAGTGTGTAAATGAAAACATTTAAATCCATTTCAGGATTTACAGGTTACAGGATCCTCCATCATATCATTGGGTGGATAACATGACTCACCGATATTTGTCATCTGATAAAAGCCAAGTGTCGAGCTGATTTATCGGCTCAACACAGAATCGTGTCACTGTACTGATCAAGACAACATCACAGCTGTTAAGATTTATTTGACCTCACTTTCCCTCTTGAGCAAGTGTGATTAGCTTAATTGTATGTTTGTGTAGAAGTCACTCAGGCATCTGTGTGTGTGTGTGTGTGTGTGTGTGTGTGTGTGTGTGTGCGTGTGTTACATCGCCAGCGAGGCATTTGCCCCAATTACTGAAACCGTGGATCAACAAGTGGTCATGCTCATTCACGTGGAGGATGGATGTCTCCGTTTGCATGCAAATAATATACATTGATGTGCTTTTGAGTGAGGTAGAAATGTGTCTTCATTTGGTTTGGCCTCATGCGTGTACAGAGTGTGTCTGTGTTCATGCAAGTGTGTGTGTGTGTGTGTGTGTATCCATGCAAGAATACATGAGCAGGAAACTCTCCCTCGCGGTGCCACGTTTTACCTTGAAGAACCCCTGCAGGAAAGGGCAATTCCGTGAACAAAAGCTATATAAATGATGAAGGGTATAGCGTCATTATTATTATTATTATTATTATTATTATATAGACTACATGGAAAAAAAAGGGAGTCAACGCAATGTGCAGCCACCAGTGTTTCAGTGCGAACACGCTGGGTGCGTGGGAATCAGCCTCCCTCGCAAAAAACTTTGATCTGCCGCTGGAGCTGAAACTAGAAGAACTCTCTGCAAGGTCTTATTTAATGTTTTGCACCGAAGGGCAAAAAAGAAAAAAGGGTCTGATAGAGACTCTTCATCTTAAATCTCCAAAGAGTTGAATACATCTCTAATTTGGCACTGATGTGTGCAGTGTATTCCTGCTGTGCACTGCACTGATCCTCCCGCTCTTTCCCGGGTTGCCTTGCTGCAGCGCATCCTCACACAACACTCGACTGGCATCCTTTCAACAACCAGAATCCATTTGCACACTATCACCAGATCAGCTTCATAGTCCTACAGCATTCAGCGTGGACCGTGTGCTGTTACACCACAGTGACAGAAGATCTTAGCGGAGACACCACTGATGCAGTGATACACAGATTCGGTAGTCAGTGGCCACTGCGACACACCACACAGCACCATGAATGAGACGTGGTATCAACATGAAGCTCACCTGCTGCAGAGCTGGGGTTTACCACCAACAGAGGATGAGGGAGGAGTCCTCCAGGCAGATGTTTGCAGATGAAGCTCCTCAGTCACATTCCTGCCTGCCGTGTCCCTCCTCTGGGTCTTCTGTCAACTGCGAGGCAAAAGTGGGAGTTTGTAATTAGCTGGAGTGTGAGTATCTGTTCATGAAAGAGAGGAGAGGAAGGAGCCGCAGCAGCAGCCCTCTCTGCTGCACGTCAGTGTATGAGGATGTGAATGGTGTTTGTTTTTGCGGTGTCTGGTCAGAGCAGCATCGCCGGGGATGTGGAGCGGTGAGACAGAGAGAGAGAGAGAGAGAGAGAGAGAGCATAATTATCCAACACTGCTCTGCCTGCAATCATCAGTTTCCATACTCCCGCTCGCTCACGTCACATCCCTCCATCCCTCCCCTCAATCGCTCAGGTCCTCTCTCCCCACCCCCTGAAAAAAATATCCTGAGGTCCTACGTTCTCCTGCTTTCTCTGTCTTTCTCATCCCCGCCACACACACACACACACACACACCTCCCTCTTCCTTTCACGCCACCTCTACTCCATTAGCATTCAACGTGACAGGCGATAAGTGCAGCAACCTGTGGGATGCCCTGGCTGAGAAGAAGGTGGGAAAAAGAGAAAGATGAAGACAAGAGGGGGGGGGGGGGGTTGACACACAGAGAGAAAGACTGAATGATGGGAAAATGGGGACAAATAGAGAGAGAGAAGGAAGATGAAGATTATGCAGGGGGACATGATGAGGTGGTGGAGGAGGGTTTACGTTTTTTGTGACCAATTTCTTATTTACCCCATTTTGTTTTCTGGGGACGCAGAAACATGGAGAGTTGAAAGCATTCATACACAGAATGCACACTCGTTAATAAAAGCCATACCTATACACTACTCAAAGAAAATGCCTGTTCTAGATCCATTCAATACAGAAATGTGACGATAAAAAAAAAAAGAAAAATCGAAATGAGCCCGGATTCTTAGGACGGCCTCACTTGTAGCAATCGATAGTAATGAAGTCAGGGCTGAGGTGAGAGACTCAGCATCAACACGTGAGATGGAAGGAATCTTACCAGCAACCGCAGAATGATCATACAGGCGGGAAAAGAAGCAGAGCAAAGCAATAAGATCAAATGAGGAAATGAGAGTACGACAGCAGTTTAGAAAATTGTAATCATTGTGTTCATTAAAAAGGTGCAGACTCAGCTTTTCGGCACAGTTCACATTCACATTAAATAGATCAATAAAGCAGAAAACTAAATCAATAAAACAAAATAACTTGAACTCAGTGTATAGGTGTAGACCTAAACTGTAAAACGACACCACACACACACACACATTGTACACACTGCTGTTTAGAGAGTAATGTCCCCCGAATTACATCTTTTATCAACATAATCAGAAAGAAAAAAATTTGAAGCAAAATCCCTATATATTGATTTTGAATGCAAACTTAGCATGCTTAACATTTGTGTGTTTAGGCACTCAGTTAAGCCTTTTGGTAATGACCTTGGTTAAAGCTGGTGGGTGAAATGTATTTTAGTTTAGTTTTTACTTATTGAAACTCTTTACTTTATGACAGCCATCAATAAATCCAATGCTAAGCCCATCCAATCATTTCATTCATCCAAGGTTAGCTATCAAAGCATTAAATATTTAAACTGCCCTAAAGAATAAGACATGACATGTTTACTTTAATAATCACAACCACAATCTGTCTCCCTTCACCGATGTGCTTTTGTTGCATAAGCATCACCGCACACCAGACTCAGGCCGCAGAAAACAGCCTTCAGTGTCAAAAATCCTGCTCATTGTATGCCAACCATCCACCCGGAGCGACAACGATCAGATGAGAGACTACACCTACTTTCTAGGAGACTGGATTGCGGAAATGAGTGTCACTTGTGTGTTTTGATTGAAAAAATGTCAGATTTTGCCAGGACATAAATCTAAAATCAATAAATTTATTGATCAACCTTAATGTAATTTGTGTTAATTCTTGGGATTTATAAATAAGTTTCTAGTGCACTCATCACTTAATTTCACACAAGGGAACTCCTTAAATATAAGTTATTGATGTACAACATAGAAGAGGGACTGCTATAGGTTTGATAGATAGTTTAAGCATCATGAGCATATTAGTGGAACTTTATGGCATAGGTAATAAAATCATCACGAGATACCGTGTAAAGAATGAAAAAAATAAGCAATTTAGTTCTTTTTATCAATTATTTCTAATTGAGATTTCTCGATACCTCGACAGGCTGCACTTGCAGCAGTCGCAGTGAATTCATCTGTTGTGGGTCAGACGAGAAGCTTCCTCAGTCCGCCACTCGACGTTCACTGCTCTAAAGGACTCAGCATCTAACAGACTACTTCATACAAGTTGCTCTCCGAACACATCTAAATGTGTTTGTTATATGTTGACATTGTTAGATTATTTATATATGGTTGTTCGTTGTTTGGGGAAAGAAACACCAATGTTTGCATTTTCTGGAGGTTAAAATAAATGAGTAATATTCTCCTCAATACTGTCTAAAGATCTTGAGCCAGACATTTAAAGCTAGTGGAGCTGCTGTACAGTATACATGTCTGGCTTTGTAGAGCATTATGTTCACAGGAAAACCCTTGTGCGGGAGACATAAAGGTTACTCAATAATAGTTCGTGCCCTGCTGTTCTGCTCCTGAGACAAGGCTGTAAGGATAAAAAGGCCTGAGCTATAAACATGCTGCTACCTGGAACAAAACCTAATACCTTCAATCCATTCAGCAGCACACCTTTAGATAACCTTTACATCGCTCACACTTTTTAGCCAGAAGAGCCACTATTTAATCTGACCCACAAGCATCAGCATGGATCGAGTTTCATGAAAGATCGCTGAACAATGACCCAGATATGGGCGGTGTGTGGGCGGTGGCGGCTGACCGGTGTGCAAATAACGTTTGTGTTTTCGTGCAGCCTGCAGGCTTCAGTGTAGGTCATGTGGGCGTTTAAAGTTAAAGTAATGACATGTCCCTCACATGTGACTGTCACTGTGGGTAACCAGCTAGACTTTAATCTACTGCAGAATATTTGGACTGTGCTTAGTTAAATGTGGGAATTCTAGGTAAAATTGTTAATCTATTGTTAGGAAAATGCAATAACCCATTGCTAATTATCATACTTTGAGTCAGTTTTTCTAAAACCTGTTTGGAAGCTACGCTAGCATTGATTTGAAGTTGTGTTTCTGGTCACCTGATGAATGCAAGTCCAATATTCACTTACCTCCTGGTTTTGGGTTGGTGGCCAACATCTCCGGCACATTTGGATTATTTCTGTATTTTAATAACTCAAGTCAAAAACAGATAACCGTACAGTAGATATTACAAAAATGTCAATAAAACAACAAATTACATAAACAAGTAGACTTTACTTAAACAGATTGGTCAGTATATTTTTAGTATTTAGTATAGTGTTTAGTGTACATTAATCACTTTACTAAGTATTTGAGTTCTACATTTCAGCTATAAGACATGCATGTATGCGAGACATTAGTATGTACTCTATATGAACTGAAAGACCTTTGTACTTCTAAGTGTTTTCCAGTAGTGATGTTTTTAATTAATCACGCCGAGGTAATACATGCGATTCTCAACATGCACTCCGTATTTATGTCGCACAACTCTGTTGTTTTGTTCTGTTGTGTTTTATGTGCAGGGGTCACAAAAGATTCATGTCAGATGAGCCCGTCACCGCTGAGTGCATCAGACCTGCATCATCATCACATCTATTGCGGTCATTATGCATGTGGGTCAGGCATGCTGTAGGCAGGTTAGAGTACCCTGCCTGGCGACTGCATCACACTCTGCATCAATGAAAATAGTCGAATCAAATTCAATCCCTTTGCCTCCGTAGAGGGAATGTAGTATATGTATGTCTGCAAAAATGTATGTATTTCAGCAAACTACGAGTTTTTGTCTCTCAGAGGATGAAATCATTTCACTGGTTGAGTTACAGATGTGTTTTATAACACTGATGCTCAGTGAAAAAGACTGATGAAAGGAAATGTTATGGCGGCCATTGTCCAAACGCAAATGTGGTTCAAAAAAAGGCCTCTCAAGTCCACAGAACTTCAATATCACACAGCGGAAAATGTAATAATGCGTCATAACTTTTTCCGAAGCAGGTACAATTTTTCTGACCTTTTGCACTGCAAATACAGGCATCAACCGTTCCAGTTTTTGTACACTATACTGTTGGTATGAATAGTATTTCTTATTTTTGTGTTGTTTATTCATTTCACCCCCATATGTAAAGGCCTTTATTACCAGCTATGGAACCAAAAGCACTTTGTGAGCAAAATTAAATGCGGCAGTTAGTACAACCACCTGAAAAGACCTGGAAAGCTAAGCGGAATAAACCTGTTGCCAAACAACGCAAACATCCAGTGGAATATTGAAAAAAGACTACGAAGGCTCGTTACGTCCGTTAGCCGAATATAGAAAGGAAATGGTTGACACTGCAAAACAAGGGATTAATGCTTTCTAGGCAGACAATGAAGCCGTCTCCACTTATAACTGAACACCAGTAGCTGATGGTCATAATGTCTGTCTGCATGAAGACAATATGGATTACAATAAATGTTTTTATGTTCAGTAGCCTCGGTAAAAATCGTGAAATTATGAGCAAAAAATACTGAAACAAAAGCGTGGAACCCTAGTGATGTCCCACTTTACAGCGCCTGTAGGTGTGGGGGAACATCTTGGATGATTTTGGTAAATAAAATAGTAAAAAAATAACTCATGGGGGCTGCAAGTGTTGTATCAGAGGCTCTTCAGAAGATGGAGCGGGATTTGTAACATCCTACCCTGTTCTTTAGATTTTCCATCGATCACATGTTAATGTCACGGTGGTGAATTTTCTTCTGGTTGACTGCTACTCATTCTAACCAATAGGCCAAATTAGCATCACGATCATTGTAAGATTTCCATAAATATGTGTGAGATTATTACTTCAAAACATAATGTTGGCAACTTTGTTGTGGACAGTGAGATTCAACGTGACACGGCGTTGATTCCATATTAGCGAGAGCTGATTACAGTCCTTCTCATTCACTACATCATGCAGCCTGAACCCTCTGCTGTGAGCAGATGGGTTGTAGAATAAATACACTGCTATGTAAATTAACATTACAACTTCTAAGATCCAATCAAATCACCCTGTTACGGAGCCAGAGACTCGGTCACGACCATCCCCCCCCCCCC